TTTTTTTTTTTTTTTTTTTTTACCCATCAGATCCTTGAACCACGAGGCCAGCTTGATTGCGTTTATTCCCCCATTGCTGTCTGTCACTACCATCTGGATCTTGTCGTCGTATCGTTTTGAAACTATCACTTTCACACCACTGAACTCGGCCTGTTGAAATTGTAAAACAAATGCGAGTTCTTTTTGTTCAGGAATAAAATAGTAGTGTAATTATATATCACACTGATAAAATTTATTAGAAATCCCAGCTTGACTTTGCACCTCGCAACATGCATACGTAGGCCTTCCATTTGCATTTTAAAAAATGGGTGAACACCATTACTGAAATGAAATCTTTACTATTACAATCATTAGCTACTATACTGCTACTACCTCAGAAGCCACTTTGTCCAATGCTGTTCTACGAATTTTAACCAGTTCGAAATTTCCATTATAGGTCATCAGTAGCAAGGCGCCTAAAATAGATTCAAACATTTTTGTACTTCTGAACGTTTACAATCTCCTGAATATTTTTTAAAAAGTCATTTTTAGTGTGAAGACAACCTTGCACTCTTTATTTCTATCAGTTTATGTCAGGCCATCTCCTTTAATTTGTTACATCTGCTCTCTTTGATTTAGAAAAAAGTAAAAAATGTAATGAACAGGAAACGTTTATTTGAAGAAGACCATGATTTAGAGTAAGATTTCTTTAAGCTTTAGATTTTTTTCCGACTGGTCTAAGATTGTATTAATTTCTGGTGACTTACCACAGAGTGAGCAACAGTGGCCTACAGGAGTGAAGGGTGAAGTGCATGGGGTGGATCCACATCGTGATCTTTGGAAGGAGCAAACTTTGTTAAGAATCTGGAAAATTTTGGAATAGTCTTTTATATATATATATATACAGTGTGTGTGTGTGTGTGTGTGAGTGTGTGTGTGTGTGTGTGTGTGTGTGTGTACGGTATATAAATAGGGTTGTATAGGTCAAATCAACGTAAGGATTTCTGGTGTGATAAGATAGATAGATAGATACCATAGCACATATAGATATTCACCATAATACATCATATGTATCCAGTCTCCTTAAGTAAGCAAACAATAATAATGAAATAAAGAAAGTGTGGCTGAATTTCAACTTAATAGCTCACCGCCCCTCTGTCATTTCCACATGGACATCCGGTGGCGTTGTTGCAGTACCCCCGGTGAATTGTCACGTCGTTGGCAGATGATGCAAGCACAAACTGTTTCTTCCCTAAGTCACTCGTTAGGAACTGTTTAAATTGCTCAGTGTCATAAACCTGAAATTAAAATAAAACAAATTTGCGAACGACCAGAACAAGATTTGGACACGAATGAACAGGCTTTGGTGCATTATTATATACATGTATGTCAACAAAAAGGGGCAGGTGATAATAGATTTTCCAGAGGTAACGCGTCATAATAGTCCATAATTCCGAATTATTTAATTTCTAACCTCCTATAACTTTGCCCGTGCTGCCCTGTACACGTTTCAATCGTTATATATCGTCGGTGCACATAATAAAACAATGTTTTTAAGTATTTTATGTTTCCGTATTGTTTAAATTGACAGTGCTTCTGCCCGAACGTTTATTTGAAATTATTATCATTTCAATTCATTTTTTTATCAAATCAAGTCCAGGGGTATATATAATGAAGACCTTTGTTATTATTATTATTATTATTATTATTGCATTCAACTCGGCTCGTCGCAAACCTAATGCAATCTTTTATTTACCTACTGGCACTACAACTGCTATGTATGTTAATAGAGTGCCAATCCAGCCTACCGTATATCCGATCCTGAGACTCCGTATGCTTATCTCTACGTCAGTATCTAAGCTGACGTAGAAGGTTTTGTCACTGGGGAAAATGACGTCATCGTTACGGCAAGGTACTTTTTCGCTGTCCAAAAGATCAACATCCAAACACTGTGCATCAAAGTCGTGCAAAGGGATACACCAATTATCTGGATCATACCAATGTTTTGGCTGTACTTGTGCGAAATGAACATCTAAAATACAGTGAAAACTTGGTTATGGGAATTAAATGAGGTTTGTAATGTGGGGACTTGGTTGCCCTACTTTTTGGATTTAAGATTAACGTTTTACTTAACAGTAAAAAAAAATATCAATGGTCGATATATCAATATTTAACGGTTGACTTTGAACACCAAATTCCAATTGGCATATCTTTTAAATAGTTAATACAAATTTAACACGATACAGGAGACATATCTCTATCAAAGAATTTGTGAGTAATAGAAGATCTGATATTAAAACCTATCTTTTTATTGGTGAAAAATAAGATATATAAGAGAATTTCACAAGTGGCTGTGCTAGTTACCTCCCTCCGGACAGCTGTCATCGTTGGTGGGGTAACTGAGGAACGAGATACTTAGGTCACGCTCAAACACAAACAAACCATCAGATGGAAACACCTACAAAAAATGGGAGAAAATGCAATTTATTTTCATTTTTAAATCAATCACTAGCCTCATACGGTTAAGTTGTATAATTCAGATATCTGTACATTTTATCGGATTCGTTGTGATGATTTATCAAAGATGTGTCAATACAGAGAGATCGTAAATACTTCCAAAACTGCTACTGTACTATTCCTTAAGTTTGCTTTGAAAATCGCCAAAACTGTTAAGGCAGATTAAAGCGGTCATTATAGCGAAACCTACCATTTCTCTTAACGTCATGTCCTGGTCGAAGTAGACCGCGGGCGCGGACGCCGGGAAAACAATTTTATTGGCAGGACACGGTAATTTTCCACCTGCCCAGTTCTCCTCGTTGAAAAAGTTAGTGTCCCGCTTCCAATGCTTAAAAACCTGCCCGGTTGAGTTTTCTGTTGTTGTTTTATGATAAATGGATAAAATGTACATTAATGGTTGTGGTACAAAGGTGCGATCAATTTCAACCAAAAAAGTCTTTTTGCAATACCTTTATATTTTCATTATCTTAACTTAAATTTTCTGACCTTCCAAACAAATTACATCGGTGTGAATTCAAAGAAATATTTCACTTGCTAGTGAATTTGCTTGCAAAAATAGAGCTACATAGAGGTATGTTTTAAAACATACAAAGAGCTGCGCATTCCGGGCGTCTCCTTGTCAAAATGAAATAGGCAAGGTTCTATAACCGGCCCTTCTTAAATTCTTACCTGCTAATATAGCTAATAAACATGTTAAAACCAATGCCGCATTCGATCCCATGCTTGACTTCGTTTTCCTGAACAAAACTTACAAATAAATACTGAGGAAAAGATCTCTGGTATAGCACCAAGATGAAAAATTCACTACTATTTTCGAGGGGTGGACGTGACTAGAAAATATCCAATAAATGTTGTGCCCAGTAAGCACCCTGAGATTCCGTCGAATATATAAACAATGCATCTTACATTTACCAAGTTGTACCCACGTGGACAAAGTTAGGATAATCGGGGTATCCAAATCTGGGAATGTTTACTGTGTTATGGTCCCCCTATTTAGTCTTGAGTGTGTGGTAAATTACTTCTTACCCTCCAAAGAATTATCAGTTAGACGACTGATTTAAGGGTCTATTCGGTAGTGAATATTTCAAGTGGCTGTTAGTGCCAGACTGGTCATCAGATAAATACCTTGCTTTTAAATAACATCAATGTTGCAGATATTCACGATTAGGGTTGGTCAAAGTTCAAGTGGCTTCATTCAATGCAGAAGTACCAATAAATCCACTCACAGAGGCATAAATATTCAGTCCACCGCTCGAAACATCCTTATCTCCATATTTTGATATTTCATATTGAAGTAAACCTCACTATATCTTAAAACTTGAACGAAATTACATCTAATCCATTAGTCAACTAAAAAAGGTAACTTATTCGCAACAGATGTTATCATCCTTGCGAAATATTAATCTTTGCGTTATAGTAATTGGTGCAAGAAAATTAAAGAAAGTGTATAACAAGTGTAAAAAATATATTCTGTTTCATTTTATTTCATCGGTTGTCATGTTGTCATTTTATTGTAGATTTCTTTCATTTTACTTTTCTTTTTTTAATTCGCAGAAATACACAATAACGAATTTATTCTAACTTTACATTAAATTAGCGCCGATTTGAACTCCAAGTGACTCAGTTCACTGTTCCAAAATCTTGTTAGTCATTTTGATCACAATTAAAGTATGACAGTGGTCAGTGTTAGTCAAATGGTGCTGTCACCACCAAAAGCATCGCCGTATCCAGGGTTACTGAATCCATATGACGTGTCCGCCAACTTTGTTGGATCACCGAACACGCTGGCCTGCAAGATACAATGTAGCACCATTATGTTAAACACATCTCCAATATTGTGCAAACATTAGAAAAAAGTTAACTTTGTCTTAAAACGATCGTTTAAATTAGATAACGTAACTGCATAGATAAGTATGTCCAACATGTTAAACATATTTAAATCGTTAAAAGTTAAAATGAAATTCGCCAGTAAAAATTTTAATGGGTAAAGTCCACATTTTCCATTCAAATGGGTCAGGTAGGTTTTACTGTTTCACAAGCTTCAGGAAGGCAAGAAAAGTTTTGATATGATTTAGACACACAATTTCTTGCTAAAAGAGCACGTCAACGTTTAACTCACCGAAGCCGATTCATCATATACGGGGTTATCAAAGCCCACGTCGCCTCGATGAACGTCGGCAAGTTCAAAATCCGTCTTCTCGTCCAGAACGAACCATGCCTTGCGCCTTAACGATTGAAAAAAACCAACGTCGTGGTTTACAAAACATTCAAATACTTTTCGAAGGGTATTATTTAATTCTATTGACCAATTAGCTACCTAAACGACCAGATATAAGGATGCACTGCATCAAAAAGTCATTGACACATCAGAAAAAAGAAACGAAGGTAAACTACAATGCTGTGCCTGACTGGCTGATTTCGCGAAAAAAAAAACATATATACATTTCTCAAATACATTGCAGTTGTTGATAAATAGAATTTACTCACTGTCTTTGTATAATACAAATTGAGGTGGTAAGCAAGATGACGAACACCACGGCTGCAGCGCCAATGATAATGCCTGTTACTGTATCCACTCCAAAATTACCGCCAGCTGGAGCTGTTGAAAACAATTTCAGATAGGAAAAGTGTAACTGTTGAAAAATTTCAAATTAATCGAAAGAATCGTTTTACAGCATTCTACTGACACAACTATATTAGACTGTGACCTTCACTCAAAGCATTTTTTCTTACTTGGTTACTTTTACTGCAATAATAATAATAATAATAAATAACTTTTCTACTAAATTTTTTTAAGGTAATTTCGAAGCATATTCTTATCATACAAGCAACTTTTTTTGTGTGAGTCCAGACCTGTTGGTGTGCATGCTTACCAGAAACTCCCTGTGGTGTAACGGTACCCGGAGAGACCGTGGTGGAAACTGGGGCACCAGTTGGACGTGGACCTGTGGTGCTCGGAGGTGTCGCCTTTGTGGTGGTACTGATAGAATTAGAACTGGTGGTGGTGCTACTTGTCCTAGCTGGGGTCGTGGGAGTGATGCTTCTGGTAGAAGAAGTCGATGGACTGCTTTTCTCCGTGCTCACTGGTGGAGTAGGTTTGGGTGTGGATGTTGTACTGCGGGGAGTTGTAGAGGGGGTTGTTGTTGTTGTTGTGGGTGTGGTTGATGTTGGTGTTGTAATGGTTGTGGTGGTGCTAGTAGTGGTTGATGTTGTGGTTGTAGTGGTTGGCGTGGTTGTGGTGGTAGATGTGGTTGTGGTAGGGGTAGTAGTGCTGGTCGATGTGGTGGTGGTTGATGTAGTGGTAAGCGGGTCTGATGATTGCATTGTAAAACTGTCAATACCATATCGCTTTTCGCCTTGTATATCTGGAATCAGAAAATTTAATTTTCGTCAAACACAATGTGGATTTCGGAACCGCAAAACGCTCAACTATTTCCCAGTAATTATCAATCCACATATTACTAAATTGAAAAAATACAAAAATCGATAACCTAGAGAAATTAACTTCTGCCATGGTAAACTTTACACAAGTAATATGCATTTTAAGCAAGGGATTTAACCCAAATCTTCCTTTTATGTGTGTTACAGTGTGCCATAAGACTTAATAAAGGACTATCCCCGTCGTAACCGCATGCAAAATATAGGGGAATAATACCTCGACACTCTTAAGATGAATGACAATAAGTGAAACCTTTCTTATTACTTGTATAATTCTATCAAGAAATAAGAAAAAAAGAAAATAATAAATTAAAGATAAATTAAATTTAACAATTAGTTAAAAAGTCGATACCTTCATCTAACTTTTGTCTAAACCAGTAACCAACAGGGATAGCATTTCGTCCACCATTATTATCGGCAAGAACCAACTGAATGACGTCATCAGAGCGCTTTGACATCATGACTTGAACACCAGCGTAAAGATTTGGCTGGAAATAATTTTCGGCTTTTAGCTAAATTCAAAACATTTGACAATAAAGATTGTTATATGAATATCATAAATTTGTAGTAACAATTTTTAAACAATTTATTATACTAATGTAACTCGAATAGATTGAGATAAAAGGAGAATAAGAAATGAAAAAAAATTACCTCGGAATTGACTTTGTTTTGAATTACACTTCTCACATAGGAAAAGTGAAAGTTGGGGTTAAAATTCATCTGAAACATAGCACCTGAAAAAAAAAGGAAATGGGATTGAATTCATGATGTTCAATAAAAAAAATGAGCATCAAAATTGAAACAACAGTCTTCTGTTTTCAAGCGTTGATTTCTGTGGACACTCTAATATGATCGCTAACTAATATTCGTAGTGAAGGCTGTGAATCTTGGGCTTCGTAATTCTGAGCCACGTGACTTACCGCACACGTGACAACAGTGGCCCGTGGGTTGAAATGGGCGAAGGCACCTTGTTACTTGACAATGGCCTCGTTGAAAGGAACATATCTTGTCAATGATCTACAAAATATGAAGTTTAAAACATTTTCATCTAAACAAAGGACAATTTACATTCATTTTGAAATTCCACATGGATGTAAGTTTCTATCCACGGAGAAATCTGTAATTTGGTTTAGAAATGAAGTAATAATTATTTGTGTGTAAAACAGAAGCATAATCTTGAAACTCCTGATGAGATATTTCAAACTTTAAACGATTACCTGACTTTGGTCATTGCCACATTTGCAACCTGTAAAGTCACTGCACGCTCGTTCTGGAGAGATTGTTATGGGAGAAGTGGAACGTGAAACAAACTGTCTTCGCCCATTAGGGGTAGAAAGAAACTGTTGAAAATCATTCGTTGTATAAACCTAAAAATGTAAAATACGTGACAAGTAAAGCATAGGTTGAATGTAACACGTCTGGATGTCCCATTAAAAAGATGTTAATAACGATAACGAGTACAAATAAGAACAGAACCACCCAAAGTTTAAAACTAACAATTATAATAACGTCAAGCTAAATCTTTGTTGTACTTTAATAACCCTATACAATTAATCATATGGAGACCATAAACTTAATATTCACCTGTCTCCCAATCCTGAGAGATTTAACATTTATAACTGCTGAAATGCTCAAATCCACATAAAAAGTTTTGTCTGGCGGGAAAATGACGTCATTGTACTGGCAGGGGATTTTCTCCGTATCCAAAAGGTCTGTAGATCTTCCACACTGGTCGTCGTTTTCGTGCAGTGCTTGGCACCAGTTAGAGGGATCGAACCAGCTTTTGGGTTGAGTTCGGGTGAAATGCATATCTAAAATGATTGCAATGATGAGAACTTGGTATCGAAAAAGAAATATGATATGTCCATCTCCTTCTCCTCAACCTCCTGATACTTTCACTTTCACTTCCAGGTACTTTCCTGATACTTTCACTGATGCTTCGTTTATGAATTAATTAACTTTTGATTAAACCAGCCAGTCTTTTAACCCCCCCCCCTCCCCCCCCCCCGTAAATGCGTGAAACGTAATTTCTTTTGTTGAAAATGCACCAACCTACCCTGGGGTGCACAAGACGGGTCCGGCCTAATGCAATTAATCATATGGAGAGCATAAACTTAATCTTAACCTGTCTCCCAATCCTGAGAGATTCAACATTTATAACAGCTGAAATGCTCAAATCCAGGTAAAAAGTTTTGTTTGGCGGGAAAATGACGCCATTGTAAATGCGTGAAACGTTATTTCTTTAATTGAAAATACTCCAACCTACCCTGGGGCGCACAAGACGGGTCCGGCACTGGATTGCTGGTGAACGCCATGGTGACGTCATTACCAAGTACTAATATCCCGTCGGTGGGAAGAACCTGTTTGAAAAAAAAATCTAATCATTTATGTGAAATGAAAAATTAACTTTTGATTATATGGTATTCATACTACCAACCTTTTTATTGAGCTGTTACAGCTACATAAAGATTGACCTTGGCGGTTTGCGTAATAACTTTCTCATGACGTCAGGACCAATTTTCTACATGTAATAAAATGAACAAAAGATATGACTGGCAGCCATAATCTTTTAGTCCAGAAGTTGACCTTACACCTTGTGATATATGTAACCAGCTCAGACCTTACCATCTCTGTGAATGTAACTCCCTGGTTCATATACACGATAGGGCCTAGCCCTGAAGGGAACAGAATTCGGTTCCCAGAACAATTCACATTGCCATTTCCTTCCCAGTTGTCTCCATTGAAGAAGTTAGTGTCCGATTTCCACCTTTTGTAAGATTGTTCGACGCTGTGGCCTGAAAAAAAAAATGAATTAGAAACGATAATGGAAAATGATTAAAGCATTAAGACCATTGGATTGAAAATTAAATGGCCGAAATGGCCAATTTCATAAGTAAATAAATAAACAAGACAGATATTTAGTGCTCAAGGAAGCAGTCGCGCAGGACGCCTTTGTTAGCACCGCCATCTTCAAACCTTGTAAAATCATCTCTTCGCTTGTCTTCGATTATGTCAGTATGATACATCGCTTGTATACCGGTTGTGAATGGATAATTTACTTACCAGTAAGAATCCAGATTATACAGAAGAAAACAAGCTTCGATCGCAATACCATCTTTCTAGGCTAGTTACGAAAACGCCATACGTGAAAACGCATAAAAACAGAAGCATGCCACAAAGTCCAAAGTTTTCACCGAGATGATAAAACTTTTGAAGTACACTATAACAAATCGCAAGCCTCTCTGCGTGTACCTTTAGTTGGGTCATTGATCATAAAATTATATACCCCTGTTACAGTACTTTATAGTGTTTAACACACGCCCCCTTGTGCTTGGCTGTCTCGTCGCCAAATTCTATGCCTTGAAGTGCAGTGAATCCATGCCCCTATATACCTGAAGCAGAACACCATTTAGCAACAATGACTACACGCTTGGCGCAAATAAGGGGTTTAAGTGCTTCATCACGATCGCAAACTACAAGTGAAAATTTTAATTCAAGGACACGTGGATTACAGTCACGTTCAGAACGGTTTTAACCAACACTGTTTCAGCTTCAGGAAGTAGACACTTGGTTTAACTTCCTGCTAGTCTAGTTTATTCTGATACTGGGCTGTGCAACATCTAAGCAAACAGTATCATTTGAAGTGGGGAGGTTAAATAATAGAAAGTTAAGGTCTCTTCAGCCAAAAAAAAAAAACCATTTCTTATCGTCACAGGCCGCGACTTGTTTTTGTTTCATTACAGACCCGTAGCCGGGAGGGGGGCTTCGGGGGTTAGAAAGAACTGCTCTTTTTGTCAGGAAAAGGTCCATTCTGGGCAAAATTTGATCAAGGTACACTAAAGTTTCATTGTAAAAAATACACTTTTTCGGAAAAAGAACCCCCCTTTTGAAAATTGCTGGGTATGCAGGGCCTGCATAAAATAGTTGGGATGGGTCTATGTCGATGTGTACTTTACCCGCCATTGTCTTTACCATGTACATCTTGACGTGAGAAACGAATCTCGACTGCGTTTTTAATTTTAAATAATTAAAACAAATTAGAATATATCGCAATGCCAATTTAGGGAAAGTCTGCACAAGGCATAATTTGCTGGAACACTCTTGAAATTGCTCATCAAGCAACTCGTGTTTTCATTTCTACTTTATAGATTTTCACTCATCTTTTTCGCTCAACTGCATGCAGATATAAAAATTGTCAGCGTTTTCTGTGAGATAGTTTATTTCAAAGACCTGGCCAAATATGTTTTCCATTAACTTAAATTTTCGGTACTTGAAGAGAAGTGAAACGCAAAACAGGCTTATCTTACTAATTAATACAAATCTTACTAATCTTGTTTAAAGAGAAGTGAAATATGAAACAAACATGTCTTACTAATACCTTTCTTCTAAATCTTTATTTTTATCTTTTACAACACCAACAGATTTTAATTGTTTGAAAAATATCCATGTACACCAAGTACTTCTTGAAAAAAAAACGCAACTTCTTAAAGATGCGATTTTCAGAACAATTCGGTCACAACTCCCATTTGACATCTCCAAGGAGAATATAATCTTTTAAGAGTTCTGGGAGTAAGAGTTGCCCCACCCGTTCACTTGTGATGCGACCATAACCAAGTTGTCGTCTTATCTGCATGCGTGAAAGATGCTGAAGTGTTTTTGGAGTGTCCGTCATGGCCACCAAGGTACTCCAATCACTTTCCTCCACAATGTCTTTTAGCATCAGAAAAGTTCCATCAACAGGGTAAATATCCATGAACATTAAAAGAATTTTAATTAAACAGAAGTTAGCTTCTCGAACACAGTATCTCAAACGCAAACAGACAAATGCCCAAAAGTGCTGGCAAGGATGCTGATTTTGTGAGAATTCCGTCCAGTTTAACTGAATATCTGCTCCATATTTCAATAAGCATTCCAGGCCTGCCATATTAGTCAGGCTTGCACGCACTGCCAGATTGCCCTGAATATATGGATGTGTAATATTTGGATTGACACGATGTTTCATTAAACACTCCATCACTTTTAAGTTGTCCCCAGCACAAGTTGTCACGAGTTGTACCAGTGGACTCCTCTCAAAACAGTCTTGGGCATCAATAGGCACGCCCCGCGAAATCAAAAGCTCCACAATTTCCTCTATGTCTGCAACTATGCTGTGGTGTGTTTTTGTAGAAAGTAGCACAAGCGTGCTGAGTTTGTCCCAGAACAAATGTTCAAAACCAGGACATATATAATCGTCGAAATGTTCAAATTCAGAAAATTCTGNACACTTTTTCGGAAAAAGAACCCCCCTTTTGAAAATTGCTGGGTATGCAGGGCCTGCATAAAATAGTTGGGATGGGTCTATGTCGATGTGTACTTTACCCGCCATTGTCTTTACCATGTACATCTTGACGTGAGAAACGAATCTCGACTGCGTTTTTAATTTTAAATAATTAAAACAAATTAGAATATATCGCAATGCCAATTTAGGGAAAGTCTGCACAAGGCATAATTTGCTGGAACACTCTTGAAATTGCTCATCAAGCAACTCGTGTTTTCATTTCTACTTTATAGATTTTCACTCATCTTTTTCGCTCAACTGCATGCAGATATAAAAATTGTCAGCGTTTTCTGTGAGATAGTTTATTTCAAAGACCTGGCCAAATATGTTTTCCATTAACTTAAATTTTCGGTACTTGAAGAGAAGTGAAACGCAAAACAGGCTTATCTTACTAATTAATACAAATCTTACTAATCTTGTTTAAAGAGAAGTGAAATGTGAAACAAACATGTCTTACTAATACCTTTCTTCTAAATCTTTATTTTTATCTTTTACAACACCAACAGATTTTAATTGTTTGAAAAATATCCATGTACACCAAGTACTTCTTGAAAAAAAACAGCAACTTCTTAAAGATGCGATTTTCAGAACAATTCGGTCACAACTCCCATTTGACATCTCCAAGGAGAATATAATCTTTTAAGAGTTCTGGGAGTAAGAGTTGCCCCACCCGTTCACTTGTGATGCGACCATAACCAAGTTGTCGTCTTATCTGCATGCGTGAAAGATGCTGAAGTGTTTTTGGAGTGTCCGTCATGGCCACCAAGGTACTCCAATCACTTTCCTCCACAATGTCTTTTAGCATCAGAAAAGTTCCATCAACAGGGTAAATATCCATGAACATTAAAAGAATTTTAATTAAACAGAAGTTAGCTTCTCGAACACAGTATCTCAAACGCAAACAGACAAATGCCCAAAAGTGCTGGCAAGGATGCTGATTTTGTGAGAATTCCGTCCAGTTTAACTGAATATCTGCTCCATATTTCAATAAGCATTCCAGGCCTGCCATATTAGTCAGGCTTGCACGCACTGCGAGATTGCCCTGAATATATGGATGTGTAATATTTGGATTGACACGATGTTTCATTAAACACTCCATCACTTTTAAGTTGTCCCCAGCACAAGTTGTCACGAGTTGTACCAGTGGACTCCTCTCAAAACAGTCTTGGGCATCAATAGGCACGCCCCGCGAAATCAAAAGCTCCACAATTTCCTCTATGTCTGCAACTATGCTGTGGTGTGTTTTTGTAGAAAGTAGCACAAGCGTGCTGAGTTTGTCCCAGAACAAATGTTCAAAACCAGGACATATATAATCGTCGAAATGTTCAAATTCAGAAAATTCTGCAGAATTCACCATCACATTGACATCAAAGTCAAAGTTTACTAGCTTTTTTAGCAATCCATATGACATGCACTCAAGAGCTAGACCCATCAGCCTTACAGAACATTCTCTCTCTGCTTCCTTGCTTGTTACTGGCCCCAGCAGATCTATTATTCTGAAATTATATTGACAATTGAAGCTTCAAAATAAATAAATGACTTAATTTGAAAAAATAATTAAAAAAAAAACAAATTACTAATAATTGGACACCTTGAATAAATTGGGATTATAGCTAGTAAAGCATAACATACTTATAGATATATACGAAACATTTACTCATGCTTCATGGTCTGTAACAATTACTAATTATTAGTGCCAGTTTTGTACATGAGACAAATAGAATCCATCAATCAAAAAGCATAACAAAAACTAAGCTACTAAATGTGTCTTTTTCATATTTTTTAAGTCCTAAGTTAATGTCCAATGTTCTTATTATGTATCAATTTTTTAAAAAATTGTTACAGAAAAAAGTGCTAGCTTAAAATCTCCAAATCAGACTTTTTTTGCAAAATCAAAATCAGACCAAGTTTTAGACATGACCTGCATTCAAACTCAACAATTCTATTAAAATGCCCTCATTTTTTTTTGAAGTATAACAAAATTTTAGTCCAGCAGTTGTTACACTTACAAGCTAAGGAAGATTAAACAGAAAATAAACATAAAAGCAAGGGACCATTAAATAATATAACCACTGTGTTATTTGAGATAAATCTTTATCTAACCCCTTCATAAAGCACAAAAAAAAAATCATTCTTAATTGAAGATATTACTAAAACGAACAGCAATCTGATCGTGGTTTTGGTAGTGGGTGGGGATAGGGCAAACACTGAGGTCCGAAAAATGTACAACCACAATACAATGTTTTGTACCTTTCATGCTCTTGTTCTACAGCAGCATGTATGGGCAGGGCGTCTTTGACACCATCTGCTGTAACTGTGGGTATATTGGGATCAGCACCATGTTTCAACAGCAGCTCCACACAGTCCACATACCCCTCTTGTGCTGCCAGAAACAGAGGCGTAGCATGGTCATAGGCGCCCACATCCACTAAATGTGGCAATCCTTTAATTAAGATCAAGTCAAAAAATCATATTCATTAAATGAATGTCATTAACACTAAAAATACTACCACTGATTATTCAAACTCTGTGAACTGAAAATGTATCTATAATAAAAAATACTGGTCTTATGCCTGGCATGTAAGTTTTTCAGTTATAATGTAAAGCAGATTTTACTCCCAATGGATAACAAAAATGTGAATAATTTGGAACCAACCAGTTAGACTATAATAACATATAGTTCCATTGATTAAGGCTAAGCTTGTAACTCTGGAACTGTATCTATGAAATACAGGCAATAAAGGTATACATTAAAGGAGTAAATGATGAATCAACTTCATTACTAGTAAATACTTTTTAAAAAAATTAACAAAATAAAATATTCATGCATTCTCTCATAATTATTTCATTACCTTGCTTTTTAGCTTCCTCAAGTAGGAGTGTTAGACATTTAATGTCTCCCTTAAGGGCAGCATGTACAAAAGCCGTCATTTGATTCTCATCAGATAATGACAACTGAGAACCTTGGGCGAGAAGAAACTCCACAACATCTGCAGATTTACTATTGACTGCTGAGTGTAGGGCAGTGTACTTTAAGTAGTGGTTTTGGGCATTCACATCAGCCCCATGGTCTACTAACATTTTGGCAATTTTTACATCATTGGCAGCAGCGGCTGAAAATATGAGCAACACATTCTCATGCAATGTCTATCCACATAAAATGATAAATATTAAAAACTGATACTGTGGTGAACATCCCAACTATCTGCTATTATTCACGTGTGCATGATTGCCAATCAACCCTGTAACTTTTTACAAAACTTCAATGTTAAGTGATTGCCAATTTAGAAGCTTTTACTCTATTTTTTCTACCACACCATATGCCAAAGAATATGTTATGTAGAGAGTCACCTATATCAAGTGGGTTGCCCTCAAGTTCTGAGGACAAATTAGGATCAGCTCCATGCCTCAGCAAAAGGCTGACACAATCCACATGTTGCTGTTTAACAGCAAAAAACAAAGCTGTTAAACCCTCAAAATTCCTCCAGTTTACATCTGTGAATTCTGTAATAGAAAATATTCAACTCAGCTATCATGTGTAGGGAGTTTATAAAAGAAAAATAACAGAATAGTGAACAGCAGCAGTGGCCTTTGAATAAATTAAAGAATATTGCACACTGAAAATTGTTTAAAAAGCACATTTTTGACGCCCTCTTTGTGACTCCATGTACATAAAATGTTATGAAAAAATTGAAATAAAAAAATAGTGATCAGTTTTTCATATACTCACTGCTGTTCAGTAACAACTCAAGACACTGTGTGTGCCCAGCATGTGCTGCTTCGTGTGTTGGCCTCCAGCCACGGTTGTCTTTCACATCTACTGAACGTCCTGTAAGAAAACCAAACATAGAGAATGCCCTGAAAATGAGAACCTTACATAGAAACCAAATTCTCTATCTCATAGCATACACTGCCACCAGCTAGCAATTTTAATAATTTCACTTTTATGTATCTAAAATTATAAACAGAACATGATAAAAAATTCAAGGTTAAGAAATTTTAAACCAGCATTCACAAAAATGTTACATGCCTGACGCTGCCACAATCAAGGTTTATGAGACGTTACTGCTGGAGAATGTATACATTTATCATACAAATGAATTCCATGGGTGGCAGTACATTTCACAGAAATTTAACAGTAGTGCAATTAAGCACTTAATTATTATTCGGTCAAGACAATTTTCTGCATAGAAGAAAGTGGAGGAAACTAAGTTTTCATTTAAATATCAAACAAGTTTGAGGAAAAAGTGTATGCCCATCATAAGATAGAGACATGAGAAGTTGCAGTTTCTCTTTTTAAACGAGTGTCGCTCACGCTGTAGCAAAGACTGATCAAGACTGGTGGTGGTACCGAAAAAAAAACAGGAAGCAGTTGAACTGTTTGACGATTAAATATCATTAGGTATAGTTTGATTTGTCCCTCAAATCTTCTGTGACAACGCACCCGATTTTAACAAAGCCTTCAGCGTTTTTATGGCGCCTGTTCTTGCCGCAAAACCAACAGACGAACAAGTGTCATCGTAAGTCTCTGTGAAATCCATTGGACTTGCAGCATAAACAGAGTTTCTTTCAGTTAATAATAAGATTTCGAATTGACTTGTTTAAAATAGTTATCTTTTGATATAAGCAAACTTCTTTAAGCTATAATATTATTAAATGATTTTTATTTCTAATTTACATTTACAGATAATAAAATGAGTTAAATGTTTTTTTTTTTATATCTGCCAATTATACGAAACTATTACATGTGTATTATACTAACTGTAAATATTTTGACTGGACGGTAGACGAGCTTTTGAAACGTAATATTTCACATGTAATACCTACAAAAATAAGGTAAGGGTAACTTTTCATGAAAAAGCAAACATATTGATAAAGTTGATACTTGTGGTTGAATAATTAAAACACGTTATTTCCCCTAATTTAGGCTGTAAAAGGTGCGATATTTGAAAAGCCTCGATGGACATCGTTTCTATGGCTGGCTCAACAAGTCAATCTTCATTAATCTCACGTTGTAAATTTGACTGCAGTCGTATAAGAATTTCGTTTATTAAAAGTTTATTGCTGTAAAACGACTTATAATATTGATATTTTAAATTTTGGACAAATATATCCCATGTCTAAAGAAGTTATCAGTTAAAGTGAGAAATGCACTTCTAATACCACTTTTAAAGCGTGCTTAAGTTTTTCACGTATAAATCCTGTCTTATCAGGCGCTGTGAATGGTGGTCCGGATCTGAGAGGGTTATCCAATTCATGAATTATCCCACTCACCCACTTTGACTACCTTTTTTCTTTCTCTGCGTGTTAGTGAGTGTGTAAGTTCTCACACTTTTTTTTTTAATATAACTTGAAAGTAATAGGAGAAAAGAACAAAGGTAGGGTCTGGTGCATTATCCTCCTCACCCCCAAGAAACAGTTTAAATTTGGTGTATTTCTCTGTATTAAAGAGATAAAACTCTTTGTATGAAATTCATACATGTGTATTTTCCAATAGATACATTTTTAACAATTCATAGAAATATAGTAAATCCATTTTACCACTCAAACAGCAGTTATTGCAATTATTTTGGAATTTGTACTCGTCATCACATTACGTGGACTTTCATATGTAATTATCTCTCATATTGTCTGAATGGGCATAAAGTTTCTTATAAAGGAATTAGTTAAAGAACTGTCAAACAAAATTATATGAATAACAGATTTTGGTAAAAGTCACCATATAATTTTGAAAAGATACATAAAATCAAAGACCTATAGGGTGGGGTTGAGGGCAGGGACAAGGGAATACTGCAAAAGTGCCCAAATTCAATGGTGAATATAATCATATTAGTAGAATTTCATGTAAAGATGCACATTTTTTTGTGTGTGTGTGTGCAAAACTCATATTTACCATATTTTCCTGTGGTAAACAGTATTTTCCAACCAACAAGTAAGCAACCTTTTTAATTGATCCTCTTTTTCTGACACTTCCTATACCTCTGACGTACAGTATTATTGTCAAGCATCTCTTTGATTTTAGGTATGTGCAGTTTACACGGACATAGCAGCTACACCCATTCTGTCCAGGTAGTTGCAGACTGATCATGGCAGGTTCCAGTGCTCCATTACTCAACGACTATAAGAAGGACTTCTTCTGGAAGCGCCTGCCACAGACAGTTCTGGGAGGTCCAAAACTAAAGCTTGGATTTGGAGCACCAGCTTATGTTTACCTAAATCAAGTTCTCTTATTTTTGCTACCATGGATTCTGGGTGGCATTTTCACTGTGCTGGTAGAAGTAGTATCACTGACCGATTATGTGGCTGTGTGTATATATGGCGGAATTATGGTCTTAATGGTGCTTTTAACACAAGCCATAAGCTTGGTTGTACAGAAGAAAGAGGACGTCTCCGTCGCGCCATTACAGCAGACGATTAATGTCCTGGCAGAAGAAGATGAGGTCGACTTCACGTCATGCTGTGGTGTAGAAACATTCAAGTTTATAGTCCCTGTGAAGAAAATCAAAGTCAATATTCTATTCCATGCTCTGTTGTCTGGAGCATTATGTGGGCTAGGCATGTGGTATCTTCTACCTCAAACACTGAATGGTTTGTACAACTCCAGTGCAGGAGCTACTGTGATTCTCTTTATATTAGGCTGGCTGACGGTTTGCATTGCACAGTATTCTTTGACTGTGGGTGCTCCTCCTGAGCCAGCAGCATTTAGAACACTAGACACATGGGAGATTGCTCCTCTTACAAGACCATTTTATGCTCTGGTTTTCATGGGATTTGATCTCACAGCAAGGTAAGCTCAGTAAACTCTCTGCACTAGAATCAGATATTCACCCATGACCCATAAATGTTCAAGTTCTTTATTGATATTGCAGTCCATTAGTATTATTTTATTAAAAGAAATAAAAAATAAAAAATATAAAAATAGTTTGTGATGCTCTATACTACATAATGAAATAATGCCTATTGCCAATCTTTTCATTACCTAGGTATATCTAAACTTCAACTCTTTCGACTGAACTAATTTCTAAACACTGTCTAATTTCTATGTATTCCAGGTACATTCCTGTTATGGTTCCAGTCAACTACTACCTGCACATTGTATTTGTATTCCTCCCGGTGATGTGGACTCTAGGTCTCTTACCTCCACTTGATGCCTTGTTCCTGTGGATGTTTGAACAGGTGCTAGTGGGTCTGATGGGCGGATCACCTATGGCATCAGATTTAAGGTGGAGTATAAATGCAGTACAGGCGCGGATGCAGAGCTATTTACTGACAGTCTTCCAAATTATCTTTGTTGATTCATCCTCCAATTTTGACCGTCTTCCAACAGAAAGAAATATATACCTGTCAATGTTAACTTGAAAATCTGACCGTCTTCCGGAAGACCCAGAAGACGGCCTAAATCCGCCCCTGCAGTATGCACCTTAAAACATACCATTTATATTGAGCAGAAGGTTTTATAAACAGAGAGTAATTTAAAAGATTTTTTGTTGGAAATCTCAACACTTTTCCACAAATACTCAAGGTGCAACAATCATATCTCAAGCTATTGACAAAGTTAGAATCTTAAACCTGTTTTTGAGTTGTAAGTTTTTAGTCATCCACATAATGGAGATGAAGACTGGTGTATTTTACTTGTAACAGTAAAAATTAAAAATTGGGGAAAATTTAATGCAAATTAGCTTCTTGACTGCTATTTTTTCTACAGTTTTAGATAGGATATACTCTGGCAATTAAGCCAAAAGAGTTTAAATTTCCAGGAATTTATTTCAATATCAAAGGCTTAGGTGGATAGTATTATGCCCTTAAATAGAAAATGACTGTAAAACAATCTCTTGGACTTCAAATTGCTCAGATTGGACCAGTAAGATAGGAAAAATCTTTTTTTTTCTACCCTGACACAAAATCAACTCTGCAATTTCTTCCATCCAGTAGTTTCTTGTCAAAAACTGTTACTGGGCATACTAGTTCTGAATCAGTCCTAATGTTGTGTAGGATTTAACAATGGTGATGCAAAAGATAAAAAAATGGCATATTGTACATATTGTTAGTTTAAAAAGATTGAGAACGTAGTTTTAGACTTTTTCTTGCAAATAAGACAATTTAAGTCAGGTTAAAACAGTATCAACTCAAATGTCTGCCTTTTCTTTCAGGCTGATCCTGATGCTGACGTTATCTCTAGGAGTATTCCTGGCTGCCTATTTCATTCCAAATGATCTCGTTACTGTGATTCTGTTGTGTGTTATGGGATATCTATTAAGCACTGACCTTGGAGGCCTTGGGTCTCAGTTTCTTAAACTGTGCACCACACAACATAATAATAAATCAAAGTCTGATGCCAGGCAAGATAGTGAGAAGACAATCATGAAGCCCAAATCAAACTTTTTTGTAACTTGGGCTTTTAAAGAAGGTCATTTTATTATGTTATTCATAGCAGGAGGATTAGGAGGTGTGATCAACTACTTTTCTCCACAAATCAGTGCAGATATTCCCCAAATTCTAGGCTATATAATCATGGGCTTGCTAGTCATTCAGAAACTGCTGTCAGATATGCAGCGTGTCTACGTGTTCTTTGGAATCTGGAGGAATGCTTTATATCCGTCCAGCATACAAAGGACTTTGATATTCCAGAAGAGAAAGAAAAGATTACTTGTCCTGGGGATTATAAGGAGGATTCTTCTGGAATGGGGTAAAAATGATTATCTAGGATTCATTTTCATGTTTTATTATTCCATGGCTACGATATTAGAGCTCATGGTTTCTTTGAATGTGTTATATTTTGATACTGCCAAATACTTAGATTCGTGCACTTTTTCATTATGTAAAAGCAAAAGTAAGATTAGTTTTGCTAAAGAAAATATATATATTATTTAAGTTTAATCCAAGTATCACTTATTAAGTAAACATGTTGCACCTAACTTTCTTTGAAACTTGAGGTGGCATGTTGACTCTCTTCCATTAATAATATTATTACTGCCTTGCTCATAGTCAAATAATACAGAATTATGATTATTTATTTTTCAGTGTCCCCCCTGGTGATGTTGGCCTATCTAGCGATGGTGATCACCACTTTTCCGTCAACTTCTCCTTTGTTGGTCTGGACAGTATTTGGTGCTACTAGGGCATTTAGATGGGTAAGGTTTATAGTTCTAAGCTAAACACTAAATAGACATAAAACAGGATAATGTTTTGAATTTACATTGTAAACAATTTTGAGAGAAATGCAGAATTAAGTATACAAAATGATATATACGCAATGTATGAGACTCATGAAATGATGACAGAAAAATCAAGTATTTTCATTGATTTAGACAAAACTATCAACCATTCATTTATTTTATATGTTCAGTGATATTTGAAATAGTTTACTATAAAAATGCACCAATTTCCTCCAATCACAGACATAATTATTTTACACAGCCATTTTATCATATTTTCAGATATGGCAAAGCCCATCACAGTCCCTACTTGAAATCTCTGTCATTCACATCATAAACTATGTCATTCCAAGTGGCACTCTCAGCTGGACGTCTTCAGTGGACATTGCTACACAGCTGCTTATCAGTGGACTCTGCAGAGACAGGCTATTTCAAGTGCTCAGCAAACTGTATTTCTTCATGGTGACACTGGTCACTTCATGGACTGACAAGAAACAGAGACATGTCAGCACTGTTCCAACAATAGTGCTGTCTGTGTTGTTTTTCCCAGTTGTTTTAGCCATCATAGCAATTTCAGCGGCATTATCAGCTCCATTATTGCCCATCTTCACTCTCCCAATATTCCTGGTTGGTTTTCCACGTCCCAACAAGGCGTGGCCAGCGTCTGTGGGTGCGTCTGCCAACAAGAACGCTGACACTGTGTATTATGAACAGCTGTCACACCAGTTAGCTGCGCCACTTAGGACTGCTTTTGCTAATGGAAGTTTGGGTAAGTTGACATCTTTAAATCTGAAGAAGATCATTGCAAAGCCAAAAGTAAAATTTTAAACTTAAATTGGCAGTGCTTACGTGTTTGGCAGTTGGGATTTGCTTTTGACTTCATTTGTGCTGTTAAAGAGTGGATAATAAAGTTTGAATTCAAAGTTAAGTTTTATCTCTGAAATGTATTGTTTACTTAGGGAGAAAACCATAATACAGTCCTTTGCCAGACATTTATGAATTTAACTGTTTTAATCTTACGTTTTTAGATGAACCCTCCCCGGGAGACCATTACCTGATCCGCTATCAAGACCGTTTTGTGTGGGTCTTCATCCTGGAGCGTGGCTGCCGTTACTGCACCATCAGCGTCAAGGGACTGGAATTGCAGGAGACATCGTGCCACACTGTCGAAGCAGCAAGGCTGGATGATATTTTCGAAACCACATTTGAGCACGAAAACGGGGTCTCCTGCTGCTCCTTGAATCGATACCCATTCAATGCAATGACGCCGTATGATGCGTGCGTGGTAAAGGTTTACTCAGATGCCAAGAATGTGTTGACTGGGATCATCGATTCTTCAGACAGCTTGCAGATTATGACCCAGAGTTTTATCAAAGCCCTGGTGTGGGTGATGCTGCACCACAATGCAAAGAGCAAATCAAAACTGGAGAAACCAGAGCCACCGAATATGGCAGGATCCAGACGATCTTTGAGGAGTAGACTGTCCACTGCACGTAGCAATAGAGTGGCCCCAGGTCCATCTGCTGGTGCTGTAGTTCCTGGAACTGGTTTGAATGATCAGGAACATGGGGCAATTACTACTAAGACTGCGCCTGAACCCAAGTTGACCAGTAGCTGGGATAGTATCACAAGTGAAGTGTCATTTCATCAAAAGCCAAATAAACGCCCAATATCAGCTAAGTCCAGACAGTCCTCAGTTAGCATACCAGGGAGTAACTGGTCTGATGATAATGAGTCATTAGAATTGGAAAATTTTGATTCTAAAAAAAACAAAAAGATTAATTTGATAGCAGGCCTGGAAACAAGACAGAACCAGGGATCCAAAAATGATTCTGCATACAATTCCTCGGTAGATCCCATGTCTAAAAGTAAACAACAAAATCATGTGTACGGCCAGCCTGCAGGTATACTGGACAATCTCACAGATGAAGAAGAAGAGCTTTTCAAAGAACTTGATTTCGGGTTACCTGCTGTAGATATTCATCAGCCAAAGAAAACTGTTCCTTCATACCAGTCAAACCTGAAAGGGACACCTTACAACAACTTACAGCATGGGCATGGAATTAAACCAGTGACAAACTTGGCTGGTTCTATGCAGTTTTCTTCCCCGTATTCCTCAAGACTGAGCTTGCCTTTGAAATGGAGAGAGATTCCAATAGAAAACACTAAAATAGACTCGCTGTTGAGTGATTTTCCAAAGGATTGGTTCAAATGGGTTTTAACGTTACTGGATCTGGAGATGGACGGAAAGAATTCTGAGAGTGTAGCTGCAGAGTTAGCGGAAGACGAGGTTTTAATGGGGATTTATGCACAGTTGGTTATGGCCTGCTATGCAGTTACAGAAATACTGGGTGAGTAGATGCACATTAAAGATGTAAATACATTAAATAATTTTGCAAAGTTGTTGATATTCAAGTGTATTATATACTGGGGTAGCGCTAGCACTCGCCAATTTAGCCAAATGCTAAAACTGACTGAAATTGGCTAAAAATATTAGGGTTGATTTGACTCATTTAAGTCAAATTTAAACCATTTGGACAAAAAAAGCAGTGAAAAAGTAGTAATTTGGCGAAAGGAAAAAAATTGCTAGCGCCACCCCAGATATTGCTGATCATATTGCCCGATTTCAGGATTTTCAGGCTTTATTTTTAATCATTTTTTTTCCTTTTTTTTTTTTTTTTTTTTGTCATATGGTCTTATTGTGATGAGAAATTGCAAGATATATTTTCAAGATCTTCAGTTTTTACAACTTTCAGCCATAGAAAAGAAAGAAAAACATTCACCTTCTTCTTTATAATCCTAAAAATTTAATCACAAAGTTGGTCAATATCTGTGGCTTAAATGACTCTCTTGTTCAATAAAGTTTACAGTTTATGATGAACTCCTTTGTTGATGATTGTAGTGAAAAATAAAACTCAAATGACTTTATAGGTCTTGGTGGCAGTGATGTGATCTCTATGGGAGCCAGTCATGTGTACAAAGTCTACCATGGGGACATTCCCTGGTCTCCATCCTCAGAGTGGGTCACAGAAGACAAGGAGCTCTACCAACTAGTCATCAAAGCATACAGGTGAGACCTTATTGTTGGACGTTATATATATATACAAATACGTACTATACTGAAACAAATGTTTTATATATTATGTTACATTAAGCTTATTATGTGATTATTTTGATGTTATGCATGAAGAAAAGTAGAGAAACACCAAAATATTTCCGAGTAAAATGATTTCCATGTTGCTGGACAGTTTGTGCAAGGGGTAATATAAAAAGAGATTAATTTTTTATATTTTATTTAATAAAAAGGAGTAAATAGTGCAATACTGAATAAAGTGATTGCCACTAGTCAGATGTGTTCAAGTTAATCAAATTTGCCGATTGTTTAACAGGACTTAAAACACATTCACTTTACTTTTCAGGTTGGCATTTAAGCTAATGCTTGATCAAGTTTTGCTGGGAGAAGCCTCCAGTAATGAAGAGCTGCAGGAATATTTTGAGGAGTATGAGAGAGATCTGTTTATTGGCAGTGAGAAGGACCCAGAATGGCAGGAGGCTGTACTGTGTGAGAAACCTATGCTGTTCTCACTGGGACACGACTCTGAACAGGTAGGAAATATACAGGTTTTCCATCATACTGCTGTTGAACATATTTGAAGAATTGTTTTTTGTTGTGACTGCTAATGTCTATAATTGACACTGTGTTATTTATTTTATGTTTGTTTGTTAAAACACATCACTATTTGAATACTTTATTATGTTCTTCACACACCACTTAAGATATTAAAGTTTTAAATGAAACTAATACAAATGTTTTGCGAAAATAGATACAAGCAGTCTCAGAATGCCATCCATCTCCAGATTCAGTAATGTTCAACCAATACTCTTTAAAGGAATTGAAATAAAGCTTATGCAAGTATTTGTGATGATTGATTCCAAGAATGTAACTATGGGGCATGCTATAGAGGAAATGAATTATTGAACTTAAGTATTGTAGTTGTAATGTGCACATAGAAAACTAGATACTTTACACCTTCCCTATGTCTAATTTAGAGCTTTCCTTCTAGAACACCTACAACAGCCGAGTGCTGACCTTACAAGACGTCACGCTACAAATCGGCAAGCTGAATGCAGAGGCAGTGAAGGGACAGTGGGCTAACCTGGGCCTGGAACTCCTTTACTTCACCAATGATGACGAGGAGAGATACAGCATACAGGCGCACCCCACCCTCCTCAGAAATCTTACAGTTCAAAGTGCAGACCCTCCCCTTGGCTATCCTGTCTTCTCCTCAGAACCTATGTCAGTCCCAAGTCTTTGATTACATATTATAATTATAAAGCATTATTAAGTGGTGTCTCTGGTGCATGGTAGTTAGGGCACTTGCCCTTAGTGTTATATGTAGGATGCTGTCATTTTATGGTACAGTTATCTAGAAAAATATTGTCACATGTTTAGACAGGGGCACAATTCCAGTTGCTATTTTATGGTACAGTTATCTAGAAAAATATGGTCACATGTTTAGACAGGGGCACAATTCCAGTGTTGACCATATGCACTGGTTTTGGTAGATGTGCCTTAGCTGTATTTATGACACAGCAGTTAATACTTACATGGATTTTAGTGTTACTTGGGCCGTAGTGGGGAGACGTTTTCTCTGTGTCATCTCACGTCTGCTTTGTTAATCATTCAGTGAACACTAAGTCAACAATTGCTTACCATGTTCCAAGAAATAGGTTGCCTAGTGGTATCTTTGATTCTTTTGTTATCAAAAGTTTTAAATTTGTAGAGTCAGAGGAGTGATTTATAGCCAATTTCACATATTGAACTTCCCCTGAACATTCCAGACACTTGTTGGCTGAGACCCTAGTGCTTTCTATACCGTTTAAACCTCTAGTTAGGAGTAGACTTTGATTAGAAATTACCCCATGCATTTAAGATTGATCCCTTCTAATTGTTTTTGGTGTGTTGTAGGAGTTTTCACCTACTTGACTTATTTCTTTGAATATGCTCATTATTTTTATGAAGTTTGATGTATTCTAATATAATCAGAAACATCCGATGGTTGCACAGGAAAAAATGATATATGGATAAAATTGAAGTGCCATGTGACTGTATAATGTTTTAAAGCAAGATAAGGTTTAGTCCTCAGAAGTGTCTTTTTTGTATTTGCTTTTACATCTAGGTGTTTTTTGTTATTTTTGTAACATGCTTACCTTCAGTTACCCATTTTACAGTGTTGCTAATATATTTATTGAGCACATATTTATACTAGGTGATGCATTTTGTTGATTCTTCGCGTATTTTTACATATTCTTTTATTTTCCAGTTTTCTAAATCGTTTTTACTAATGTGATTATAAAAATGATTTAAAAGAATACAATAAATTCGGATATTTTTCTACAAAATAGAACATTTAGTTGTCATTGTTGTACCAAACAAGCCCCCACGAAATGATCAGATGGTTGCCAGCCCAGCACCGAACCACCTGCACACTCCTCTTCAGTTGGCCTCCAGTTAGGTGCAAAATATTCGCTTGATAGTTTCTCTGAATGTTTACCTTGTTCATTCATTTAAAGTCGGGTATCCAGTCTTCCGAACGTTCCCACATATCAACGACAGCATAAACGACAGTGATAAATATATTCTACAGGATCGTTTATACCAGCAGTCACTTATCGTTTCCAGCATCACTAGAAATCTGACTGGAAACGGCAGAGGCATACCTGTGCAGTGGCGGATTTGGGGGGGGGGGGGGGGGGGGTAAGGGGGTTTTCACCCCCCCCCCCCCCCCCCCCTTTACGATTTCAGAAAGAAATCACACCAAAGGTCTGCTCTTGAAATTAGAATTTTGACTAGCCGAAACAAAGTTCTAAACCGTACCAAATGGCAACGTTCGCCAATACCAAAAATTTTCGGGGCCTTTTAGCGGGCCCCGAAGGTCGGCTTTGCATCTACGGCCTGTTATTCCTACAAACTGGACCCCCCCCCCCCCCTTCAAATAATTCTGGATCCGCCCCTGCCTATGGTACAGGTAGAGAGGCGAGTTTCCATTGTCCTATGTGACAAGCCAAATTTGAAGTCGAGGCTTCTGTGCGGAGAAGGGCGTACTGTGTATTATTATTATGTAAATCACCTGAGCATTTCCTTGAGATGTATTCAGGTAGGATCAAGGAGGTGGTCAGTAGAAGATGGAGAAGAAAGAACACACACCTTATTGCTACTCTTTCCATATACAGACCAAAAATTTGGCACTAAATTTGGCAACAACCTGATGTAAGTAAAAGACAGTAGGCCTATAACGCTATTAATTTTGCGTTGACGATATTTGCCCAAAGTGATCCATACATATATAATGACCACGGGGACATTTTACTGATGTGCACGTTACTTTCCCTTCGAAATCCAAAATCAGCTCCACATATAGATAGTTTATTTTCGATTGTTTTTGCAGAGGGAACGCATTTACCAATAAAGAAGTAAAGGCCTTACTCTAGCTGTCTGGACACGTTATCCGACTTAAGACCTCTGGGCAGGTAACTACATCAGCAGTTGTTAGGGGTATTTTTATTGCTTACAAGATCTATTTGTTTTTCAAATTATGAATATACCCTGTTTTAAAGGACCGACAACAAATAAATATTTCTCTACAAAAGTCTCCATGAGGTAAGATAATGCATATAGCCTACTGTGATTTTTAATGGCAGGGCCTACTGCATATCACGAATATTTGATGTTCATACTTTCATTCACATTCCGTCCTTTGATATATTGTGATCAGGAATAACTTAAAGAATATCTTTTTGTTTCATATAATTCAGTGTACCAGTAAATAAATAAATAAACAGAAACAAGGTTGCTGAAATGATTATAGGCCTATACTGTTATATCAGACCATTAGACATCGTTTCGTGAACATAATTTCTTCGTTTAATATCAGTGACTCTTAACTACCGTCTACAAGGATATTACATCCTAAATCTTATTTGCTTTGTTTGGCATCTTTTGTCCATTAAAATGTCTGTGTAGGATTAGTTTTTATCATCAAATCAAAATAATTTCTTTAGCTGTCGCAAAGCTTACTTTATTTGGATAATAAGTATTCCTAAATAGTTCAGTAAATTCGAGTTTTTAAGGCCGAAAATTAGTTTTTATGGCCGTCAATTTTTGCCGACTTTGTTCAAATAAGATATTAATTGATTTCCTATGGCATTTAAGAAAAAGTTCATAAAAATTCTAGTATATTTAATACATTATCGATTGGCAATTTTTATATTTTGACAGTTTGTTCAGTGATTAACAGATTACTATAGTACCGCTATTTCGCCAGTAGGCCTACTATAAATGAAGAACATACATCTTTTGGGAGCCTAAAAGATTTATTCGTATATTCTTATTTTCCAGTTACAATATATTCTCTTTTATCCTATAGATCATCATTCCAATGTCATGATGTATCCCAAAGTCTTTCTCCTACATTACCTTATTTGGTAATGTAATAATTCCTCAGCTCATACACAATGTCTATGATTATCCCTTTTTCCATAACTTTCCATCATTACATCATTACCAAACTATAATCATTCTCTTATTAGGCAATGGTATGTTACTTGACCTTAGGTCGCAATTTCTATTAATACAGATTTTTCATTGTATCATCCTGAAGGAATGATAACTATACTCCCTTATTCTTTTTTTATTATTGAACAACACATGCACTCTTTAACTCTCTTACTTACACTGTTTAACCTCTTAACAAATGTATATTGTATCAGTTATGAAAGGTACAATGTATTCATTACGATCACAACTTTGTATCTGTACTTTTAATCATTTTTATTACGATATTACTATTTTACATAGAAACTGTGTTCCATCTATAGTGTGCTGTAAGTTGTTCATACACTTAAGGCATATATAATGACCACCGGGACATTTTACTGATGTGCACGTTACTTTCCCTTCCAAAGTCCAAAATCAGCTCCACATATATAGATAGTTTATTTTCGATTGTTTTTGCAGAGGGAACGCATTTACCAATAAAGAAGGCCTTACTCTAGCTGTCTGGACACGTTATCCGATTTAAGACCTCTGGGCAGGTAACTACATCAGCAGTTGTAACGGGTATTTTTATTGCTTACAAGATCTATTTGTTTTTCAATTTATGAATATACCCTGTTTTTAAGGGCTGACAACAAATGAATATTTCTCTACAAAAGTCTCCATGAGGTAAGATAATGCATATACCGTGGCATTTAATGGCAGGGCCTACTGCATATCACGAATATTTGATGTTCATACTTTCATTCACATTCCGTCCTTTAATATATTGTGATCAGGAATAACATGCTAACTTAATGAATATATTTTTGTTTAATATAACTCAGTGTACCAGCAAATAGAAACAGGTTGCTGAAATGATTATATACTGTTCTATCAGACCCTTAGACATCGTTTCGTGATTATAAATTTCTTCGTTTAATATCAGTGACTCTTAACTACCGTCTACAAGGATATTACATCCTTAACCTTATTTGTTTTGTTTGCCATATTTTGTCCATTAAAATGTCTGTGTAGGATTAGGTTTTATCATTAAATTCAAAATAATTTCTCCAACTGTTGCAAAGCTTATTATTTTTGGATGATAAGTATTCCCAAATAATTCAGTAAATTAAATTTTTAAGGCCTTCAATTTTTGGCGACAGTCCAAATAAAATATGTACCGATTTGCTATGGCATTTAAGGAAAAGTTAAATCATAACATTTTTTGTATATTTAATACATTATATCTTATAGTCCTGACAGTTTATTCAGTGTTTAACAGATAATTGTTTTACATAGAAACTGTGTTCCATCTCCAGTGTGCTGTAAGTTGTTCATACACTAAACTACCCACTATATTAAGATCGCCATTTGCATTTTATGTGTAAAAACATAATGATAAAAGTAACAGCAAATTGGTCGTACTTTTTTCCAAACTGTGATCAATTTTAAACTGTCTTCAAAGGAGAGTTGTAAATGAGATCTTTGTCAGTCATTTAAATTGAACTGTCCAGTTTTTCTCTTAAACATGTCAAAATGTTTTGTGATAAAGTGTTGTCTTCAGGGCAGCATCTACCAAATAGACAAATGTAGTGTTGCGAGAAAAAATTAGTGATTTTTTTCCTGGCATTTCTGGTGTGTTTTGCTAGGATTAATTTTGGTGTCAACTAGCAGACCAGGGTGAAAACTACTGCTTATTTTCTTTTCAGGACCCGGCACAGGTGTCATGGAGTGTGGGGCCTCTGGCGGAGGGAGCAACTTAGGGAGCGTTGCAGTGGTTTGTTTACAAACAAGAGGGGTGGTGTTTAAGTACAGCCGGTAAGAAAAGAAGCTTTCCAACAGTTATTTTTTTTATGTACAGACACAGATGTGTCTGTACATATGGCCGTCACCTGCGTCTGTCGTCGCCGTCGCCGTCGTCGCTGTCGCCGTGCACTTTTACCGTTTTTTCTTTTGACTTGAAATTCACAGTACTGATGAATATTCATAATACGCAGGTCAAGTTCGAAAATCAGCATGATCGGGTCATTTTTATGGAAGTTATGCTGTTTTTTTCACTTTTTTCAGCATGGGCCTATATGCAACATCTATAACACGATAAGTGGAAAACCGTTTTTCCTTTTGGATTGAAACTTACAGAACTGATTAAAGGGATAATAACTCTTCGTTTCGGCCAAAAAATGAATTTTCCTGGAGTAAACAATAATTTTCCCATACTTACCAATGGTTAATGAATCCATTTTTACATTCAAAGTTAGTCCTTGGTTTTTTTCTAAAAAAGTTTGGTTTTTTGTTAAAATCTCTTAAGAGCTTTTAACAGAGTATAGCCATCAATGGAGGTTACGTGGTCTAAAGATAAGCTCAGATACCAGAATAATAGTTATAACTGCCGTTTTTGCGGTAAAACAGAATATATTATATTTCTATGAGTTATTCACAATGTTTTTATTGTGAAATATAGATCTCATACGAAGAGTTATTATCCCTTTAATATTCAGAATATGCAGGTCAAGTTCGAAAATCAGCTTGATTGGACTATTTTTACAAGAGTTATGCTGTTTTTTTTTTCTTTATTCAGCATACATGCAACACTGATAATGCATTTTAAGGAAAACCAATCAGCCTTTTGTCTGACTAGTATACAGATCAAATTTGAAAATAAGCTTGATCAGTTAAGTTTTGATGAAGTTATTAGCCTTTTTTGTATATAAATGGTTTTTCTTCATATTTAATTCTTAGGCATATTAACAGTCTCATTATTGAACTAATTAGATACCTAATAGTATTCTTTTGACATTTTCTGCATCTTATTTATATATCATTAGTTGATTATTTAAAAATGATGGTAAACCTGTTATTGTGTATTGTGTAATAAAGTGTCAAAAATGGAAATAAGCTTATATCACTGAAGTTTGTCAGATTCAATCATTTACTTTACATGTTCAGAATGTCAGAATGGAGCAAGTTGGACATTTAAAATTGTTCTATTGATATTTTTCCTATGTCATTCATTTTCCTAGTTGATCATTTAAAAATGACAGTAAATTGATTATTTTGTTTGGTGTAAAAAAGGTGTTGAAAATAGAAAGAAAATCATTTCAGAACAGTTATCTCTTGTTTACATTTTGGCATTTTGAAGGTGTGACTCTGAACTTCCATGGCCTTGAAGACCTTTCCATGTCACATTTTCTGAATATCCATGATACTTTTATTTTATTATCAAAAAATTGATGGCCATTATGTTGTTAAGCATTATGTAATATTGTATCAAAATTGAAGACAACCCTATTTTGGGCACTACCCCCATAGTGACCATTTAAGGAAAACCATGCCACTTACTCTTCTCAAACTTACAGAAAAGTAGCAGAGGACTAAAATGTAGCTTCAGTTGGAAAAGCTGTTTTATCAATTAACTTTTCAGGAAATTATATAGTTTTTTTGTGAGAATGAAAATTTTCACATATCTACATTTTCAAGGTGAACTTCTATTGGCTTGAAGACCTTTGTTAGTCACATTTTCTGAATATCCATGATACTTTTACTATATTATTAAAAACTGATGATCATTATGCTGTTAAGCATTATTTTATATTGCATGAAAGTTGAAGAAAACCCTATTTTGGACACTGGTGCCAGGATGAGGATTAAGGGAAAACCATGTTACTTATGATACTCAAACTTACTGAAAAGCTTCATAGGACTGAAGTGCAGCTGGTGTTGGAAAATCAGTGTGATTGTTTTCTGTTTTGGAAGCAATGCAGTTCTATAGAGTGCTATATGGTGCCACAGTATATGGATGGCAGTCAGTATTTTATTGCTTCTTGGGTAATCACTAGCTAAATTCAGGGCTATTTAGTCTAATTAAATCATTTGCCTAATTAATTTTGTGGCCATTATATGAGATTACATAAAACACACGTTGAGATTTCATTGAAAAGTCCCATAGGTTTAGCTCTCTTAACTGTGTCACTTAAATAGGAATCCGTGATAATTATGCAGGTAAATGTTGTTTAATATTGCAAATAAGTTTACAAAAGAAAAATTTTGTGTAATGCTAACATTAATGCTAAAGATGAATAACAGTGTCTTATTATTTTCAATTTCAATAGGGTTATTCATATCATGTAAATAGTTATACAGCTAGATTAAAAGTTTGAATAGCAGCTTTATTGGAAAATTTTATGTTTTATTTTAAATTTTTTAAAATTATTTTTCAAACACTAGCATCTTCAAGATGCCACATTTAACCCCCATCCACCAGAAGCTCTGTGCATTTTCTGTATTTTTTCAGCATATGTGCAACACCAACAACACATTTCAAGGAAAATCGATTGGCCAATTGTCGTAAAATTCACAGGGATGATCAGTCTTACTAAAATACAGATTAAGTTTGAAAATAAGCTTGATTGGTTAAGTTTTGGTGAAGTTATGTCTTTTTTGTAAATAAGTGTTTTTCCTCAGATTTAATTCTTAGACACGTTAACAGTCTCATTTTTTTAAACTAATTAGATATGTAAAAGGGTTCTTTTGACATTTTCTGCATCTTAACAACATTGTTAGTTGATTATATAAAAATGATGGTAAACCTGTTGTTGTGTATTGTGTAATAAAGTGTCAACAATGGAAATAAACTCATATCTTTATTTTTTTTCAGATTCAATCATTCACTATGTTCAGAATCTCAGAATGGAGCAAATTGGACTTTTAACATTATGTAATATTATTTTATGCACTGTCATCATTTTTCAAATACTGGGATTTTCATTATGTTAATTTGAACTCTCATGGTCCTGAAACTGTAATCTTATTGCAGGGGCGGATTGAGACTATCTTCTGGGTCTTTCAGATGATGGTCAGATTTTAAAGTTTACATTGACGGGTATCTATTTTTTTCTGTTGGAAGACCATCAAAAATGGAGGATGGATCAACAAAGATAATTTGGCATACTGTCAGAAAATATCTCTGGATCTGCTCCTGTTATTGACCATGTTACCTGTTGTGCATGATTAAAATTCAGTGTTGATTGACTGTGCTATTATAAGCATTATTTATTATTGCATCAAAAATGACAAAATGACCTATTTTCTGCATTTTTTCTGTTTTTGTCTGTACATTTGACAGCTTTGCTGCCTTGTTTTGTCATGGGGAGTTATGTCAGTGTGTCAGCTGTCCACGGGAATACGAAATGTTTTACCAAATTATTTTGTTTATGCACTTTTGCAGGCATGTCTTAGTATTGCCGTCAATGGAAAATTATCTGATGGTTTCTGTTCGGGGCTCCGTAACTCGAAAGCATCGCGAATTGCGACCGAGCGCAAGCGTCTCGATTTCATAACTCGGGATTTACTCGCCCCATATAAGCCCTAATAGCATCGAAATGAAAGGTGATTCGCAATTCTCGATGCTTTCGAGTGACGGAGCTCTGAATTCCTAGGGCGCGATGCATAGCATATGCATAGCATAACATTCAATAGTATGCGTTATTACGACCAGCAAATGAAATGGGTTGTCTTTTCATGTTTTTAAGCAAGATATTTCGGAATGTCTTCTGCATATTTTGATGAAATTTTCAAGATGGACAGATATTCAGATGGGAAAGAAACTATTACAATATCGACTGAATCTGGATTTCCTCTTAATTTTTTAATACTATTTTATTATTTTTTACGGAATATTCTCTAAGAATATTATTCATTCATTTTGGATCAAGTTTGATATAAAACGGCCTCAATTTATTTCGTGCTTGCCTATATTTTGAAAAAGCCAATAAATGCTCATGTCACTCTATCCTCTGCAATCATTCATTAGTAAAAATTTAAGAGCCTATCAGTTTAATTCAAAAATTGCTAGTAAATCATTTTCTTATTTCAGGAACCTACCGAGGTACAGCTCAACACGCGCCTGCTAGCGACCTTACCTTTGGTTCACATTCAAGAACTCTACGCCTATCCAGGCATTTATTTTATGTGAATTGAATAAATATATTTGTCTGTGTGTTTTCATTATCATATGAAAAAAATGATAATAGTAATAAATGGAAAATGATGAAGATGATGTGGATATAATTGTTTCAGCAGTTTCAAATTCAATCTACCTGATATAATCTGTAAATATTGCCCTTGGTATTGCTTTGACGATTTTCTTTGGTACCTGAAAACATTTAGAAGTGAATTGGTTTAAAAGCTTTGCAAACGTACCTAGTATTAACAAAACGATGGTATTTGAGTACTTTAAAGTCTAAAATCTTTAAAATATTTAGAATATTTCTATAAACGCACATTTATAAAGTGTAACCGAAAAACCAGCTTTTTAAATTTTATTGCTAAATTTTGTTCTATGTCACGATAATTTCTTTTTACTTTACAACAAATTTGTTCATCCTCCGGAATATCATTTCCTCACTTATCATAATGTAATTCAAACCTTTTTGGACGGTTTTTTGGTTTTTCGCAACCGCTAATTTGACTAACTAAATACTTGTATATATATATAATTCAATTACAAATCTGAATAAAATGATAAAGTGAAAATATTCTGCTACTTATTAGTAAATGAAATTGCCTGGTCCAGGAATTGGGCCGTTTTATTTTGATGATATAAAACTGATCACATTCCTCCGAGTCCTATTTTAAAGTTTATTTATATATATTTGGCTTGGAGTAACTGATATGATATTTTAAAAAATTCCAATTCCTTAATGTATTTGCAAACCAATTTTGAATTTTAAGTAGTCCTAAGTGTGCAGTTAATGCTCTAATAATCTTAAATCATCTCACATATCACCCCTTAAAAGTAATGGACTCTCCCCACCTGTCACCCCTCAAAACGGAATGGACTCTCCCCACCTGTCACCCCTTAAAATGAATGGACTCGCCCCACCTGTCACCCCTCAAAACGGAATGGACTTTCCCCACCTGTCACCCCTCAAAACGGAATGGACTCTCCCCACCTGTCACCCCTTAAA